GGCGATGGATGGGGCGTGTCCAGCATCACGACAAAGTTCAGAATCCTTCAACTTTATGCAAATGAAGAGCGACTTTTGGGCGCGACAGTGTCTGAGCCAATATAGCTCAAACTTACCTAGGTGGAAATGTGCACTGTATGTGTCATTACAAACAGGAATCACATTGTAAGCTGATAGATGAAGGCGCGTCCCAGCAACCACCTGACTCAGGCTCAGGTGACCTCAGCAAATAGTTACATTTTGTCACTCAATAGATATCGTCGTCATATCCTCTTACCTTAATTATTATATATTTTTTGTATCTTTATATATTAAACTAATTCGTAATTATCTTTAACTATTAGTAAAAATAATGTTTCGTAAACTCTTCACTATCACTGCACTAAATGTAACGAGTAAAAAAGATGTGGCCCCTTTAAGAGTGAGTGCTCCCTGCAGAACTGTCTGCATCGCATGTGCGCCACGAGTTCACGTATATGCGGGTAAATTATTTTCTGCTCAAAGTAAGGCTGTTGACAGTAGAGCGTTTGTGGAAGACAGTTATATGGGTTCACCTTGAGTTAGGATGGAATAAAGCTGTGAAACGCCTACTGCAAACCAATCCCACTTAAATCCCGTCTGAAATCAGCCCGTTCGCACACAATGTTTATATGAATGCCCATAGAAAACACTGAAAGCAGGGGCGATTCAAGGATTTTCATTTTAGGGGGGCTCAGCCCCCAGAGACAGGGTATAAGAATAATAATAGCCAAATAAGTAAATAAATAAATAAATGTTTGATTAATAGGGGTTGTATACTAAACTTATATTCCACTGTACTGCATAGACAGGTATAACATTTGAGTACTGAATAAGCCAAATTCAAGTCTTCATGATCTCACACACACAACTTGTTTACTGTACAAACACAAAGGGATTTCCCCCCATCTGGTCTATGTATCCCTGCCTCTGCTGAATTATGTTTTAAAAAATATATATATTTTTAACATTTCTGCAAAAAATATAACATTATGTTGATTTTTGCATGTTTCACTATACTGTCAAAGTGAAATGTCCAGCGAGTGGAGATAAACATGTTTTATTTTCTCTGAAACAGGTAAACATGAATCTTGCAACGTTTTATTACATTGGCTGTTGTATGGATCGTGGCAGTTTGGGAATAAAATGTCTGGTGAGTGGTGCTAAAAGGTTGCTGTATCACGTCTGAAAATAACATACCACTTCACTAAACCTAACCGTATAGTGTAAACAAAAGCAAATGTGAGATAAAACACATTTGCTGAAGCAACCATGCTATTTCTTTCTTGCTTCTGCAAGCCTTTGAGCTCTTTTATTGTAACTCATGTTTCATGTGACACGTACCTGTGCGCTTCAAATCACAAGTGCAATGCTGTACCAGGTGCACTATTGAGCACGTTTACTACATCAGAAAAGCCAAACATATGTAATGCAAACATCAAAATGTAGAGTATGAGTTTACAAATCACGCAGTATGGGAAAAAGTGTTTTGACAGGTACGCAGCTCACTGGGATTTATAACACAGTTACAGTTTATAGTTCATATTTTGGTATTAAATTCATCATTGTGCGATTAAACAGACTGAGAGTGATGTTTGTCTCTTGTGATGCCCCGCTTTGTGCATCATCATGAATTCTCAGCGGGCCATTTTGAAAGCTGGTGATAGATGAGTGTGACTGCAGGACTCTGATGCTACACGCTGGGCTAATCATCTCTATCAGGAGTTGTTTGTCTCTCATCCCTGGTAAAATAACAATAGGAAGTGACTGATTGTTCCTCCTCCTCCACTTCTGCAGACATGGTGAGCTGCTTTGCATTGAGAGATCTTTGTTCCCAAAAATATCGATTTCCAGTTTGGCTTTGTTTGATGTGTTCCTTTAGGTTTGTGATGTGATCTGCTGCATTGATTCATGAACCACCACTTTAACATTAGTGGACGTTTAAACTGGTGTTATTTTAATATCATTAAATACCCTTTGTTCATATTTTGAATTAAATTTTATATATATATATATTTTATATATATTTTCATAGTTTTTTTGTCCGTTTTTGACACTTTTATTAATTTTTTATGTCTATATAGATTCTATTCATTTGTATTTATTAGTTTTAGTATTTTAAATGGAAATGAGAAATGTTGCCTTGCAAAAATATTTGTATTTTATTTTATTTAAATTAACATTTTTTAAGCAACATTAACATTAAGTAACTTTGATTAATTGATTGATTGATTGATTTACTTGTAGTTTTAGTTAACAGTAATAACCCCGGTTTAATCAGTGTCACTTTCCAAACATAGGGTAAATATTGGTGCCTCATACGTTTTATTTTAATAGTTTTTTTGTCAGTTTTTGACACTTTTATTAATTTTTTATGTCTATATAGATTGTATTCATTTGTATTTATTAGTTTTAGTATTTTAAATGGAAATGAGATATGTTGCCTTGCAAAAATATTTGTATTTTATTTTATTTAAATTAACATTTTTTAAGCAACATTAACATTAAGTAACTTTGATTAATTGATTGATTGATTGATTTACTTGTAGTTTTAGTTAACAGTAATAACCCCGGTTTAATCAGTGTCACTTTCCAAACATAGGGTAAATATTGGTGCCTCATACGTTTTTGAAGCAATAAAAGCATAATCCCCATGCTCTTTTGATATATTAGATAAACTATAATCTAACATAAAATTAAATTAAATCAAATCAAGGTTGTAAACGGTATGTTGTCAACATGGGCTAGGTAACTATGCATCAAATAAATGTACAATAATATAAAATAAAACTAAAAGTAAAAAATAAAATAAAAATACAAATAAAAGTTTATAGAATACTGAGGTTGGAATGTTAAGCACCTCCTTTCAATAATGTATTGTTGAAACAGAAAAATAAAATTACTTCTCGGAAGCATTTCATTTCTTAACTTGTACTCCATTTATGTAAAGTTCATTTTTATTTTTCAGAATCTTTTTTTTTCTCCGTCTCATACAGGATACATGTTCAGGAGCTTATGTTTTCTCTGAAGTGTGCAGCAGCTTCTTCCAGTTCTTCTCTTCTGGATGTAAACAAAGCAGCAACACATTTGGCCACCGGAGGCCTGTATAATGCCACATAGTCATATCATCATGAATTAGTTTTCACAGTGTCCCAAGATGCTCATATATTTTTCCTTTCAGAAAACTAATATTTTCCACTTTATTTGTGTAAAAACAATCGAGCAGCTCAGGTTGATCTGTGAAGTGAAATCACATCAGCATGTGTCGCAGTGTTTATACAGCAGCGTGACATTGAACAGCAATCAGATTAAAAAGATTCAGAAAGAAGCATACAGTGAACTATGATCCTGATGTGACTTAAATGACTTCAAACAAAATCCCCCTTGGATGGCATTTAGTTAGCTGGGTAAGTCTTTGAGAGGAATGCTTAACCTGAAAAAGTGCTTAGATTTCGTTTTTCACATGGAATGATACTGTTCTAGTTTTTAGAAAAGAGACTTAATATCATTGTGAATATGAGTTATGAATAATATATTTTAATTGAAAACATTATATTCAGTTTGCACAAATATATTCAGACACACTGTAAAAAAATAAAAAACTTCATTAAACTTCATCTTTTAAATTAAACGAGATTCATTTTTTGAGACCCTGTGACCTCATATGAGGACATTATATTTTGGTGTATTTCTCTGAGACTGTACATGCCACAGTTTTAAGTCTGGATGTCCTGTACAGAGCACATTCAGGGCTTTTCAGAGATACCAAAGTGACGTGACATGTGGCCAAGAATGGGGACCCATACTCGGAATTAGTGCTCTGCGTTTATCCCATCCAAAGTGCACACACACACAGCAGTGAACACACACACACCGTGAACACACACCCGTGTGTTATGAGACTTGGCAGTGGTTGGGAATCTCTATTACGGTTTCATGTGCAAAGCGAATGACGTAAGTGAATGTTGGGTAAACGAAGGCGGTTACCTTTGCTGCGGCGCCGGCCCCTGTGCTCCGTGTAGAACTTGAGTTGAGTGTCATCATCCATTTCAGATCCAGAATCTCCCTGACGGCCCAACACGCCTCCAGCTTCACACAAAAACACACAGACACTTCTGTCATCTCACACATCTGTCACAAACATTTTATACACTTATAAATCGTTTTCATAATTTATTTATAAGATATGTACAAACAGTGAGCTCTTCATTCATTGTCACTAGTAATTTACTAATTATTATTATTTTTAATTAGCTTATTAAGAGTTTGATAATGTTTTTACCCTTTGTTTTTTACTCATTGTATCCTACCTCTAACTGATATATTCAAATGACTTGATCTCATGAGTATTTGCATGCATTTTCTGTAACATACCTTTGTATAGACACCCGTTCGCGATCGCGTTCCGGGGAGGGGGGGTCTCCCTCGGTCCATTCGCCGCGGGGCCCGGTGCGACTGCACCAGTTGCACCCCCCCCTAAGGACGGCGAACGGACCGAGGGGAACCAAGGAATGCGATCGCGAACTGACCGAGGGGGGCCCCGCTTCCTACCTCGAACCGGGCCCCGCGTCAGCTAAGGACGGCCCTGGTCCAGCGCATATTAATGTTAACACTTAATTTAAACATTTACTCTCCTTACCCAGTCCTATCCTACACAATAAGACAATTTGGTAAGACTTTAGTATAGGGACCAATTCTCACTATTAACTAGTTGATGTAATGATCCACATTATTGTATCAATTGAACTCAACAAAATAATGTTTGCAACTTAAAAGGTTTAATTAAATACATTTACGGCGAACGGACCGAGGGGAACCAAGGAATGCGATCGCGAACTGACCGAGGGGGGCCCCGCTTCCTACCTCGAACCGGGCCCCGCGTCAGCTAAGGACGGCCCTGGTCCAGAGCATATTAATGTATTACCAATGTAGAGACAAAAGTTTATAAACTATGAATTAACTATTAACTAATAGTTTTCAAATAATTTAGAAGTGCTTTGTCACTGCATACTTTTTAGAAAGTGCTGTTACCCTTTCATTCATTCATTCATTCATTCATTCATTCATTCAATAATGTTTTTACCCTTTGTTTTTTACTCATTGTATCCTACCTCTAACTGATATATTCAAATGACTTGATCTCATGAGTATTTGCATGTATTTTCTGTAACATACCTTTGTATAGACACAAAAACATACAATATTTACATATTCATGTAATTATTGTCACTGTACATTTTTCTGCCTATTACTTTTTTAATGTTTTGAAAAGTGGTTATGTTTAGGATTTGGGATAAAAATAAGATATATATATATATTTTTTTTTTCTATTTTATTATATTTTAGGAACACTTCATGCAATTAATGTCTAATAAAGGTTGGTTATTGGTTTTAATTTAGTATTTTCTGTAAGCCAATTTAAAATGAGAGCTATTTACTCCTGATAACCATTAACAACTCCTTTACTACTGGTTTAAATACTTTACATTAGTTAGGTATGTTTAACAAGTTGTTAACAAAGGATAATAAAACATGATCTAACTTGACATATATGAGCCAATTAAACAATGATAAATCGTTAACTACCATGACAACGAATGAAGAGCTCACTATTTGTCCTGAGCAGGGCCGTCCTTAGGGGGGTGCAACTGGTGCGGTCGCACCGGGCCCCGCGGCGAACGGACCGAGGGGAGCCACCCCCCGAAACACGATCACGAACGGACCGAGGGGGGCCCCATTCATTCATTCATTCATTCATTCATTCATTCATTCAAGTTGTGTATTGATGAGTTGTACTCCGAACAGTAATAGTGATACTTGCGCTGGTAAAGGCTGAACAAAGTAACTATGAGCAAATAACTAAATACAGATACTAATATTTCTAGATGCAAACAAGTGTTATGTTTTATATTCATACTTTGAAAAAGACTTTTCAGTGTCACCTTGGATTTCAACATTTAATGGCCCTAATAAAACAGAATGGCAGTTGTGAAACATTTCTTCATGATTTGTCTGTGATGTGTCAGGATACGTTTGAAACAGATCTGGTCATACTAACAGCTCAGCGCTTTTAACATGACATGACATGTTTTATATTGAGCACTTCAAACTCTCTCATAAGCATATAGTTGAATAGCTTGTCCTCCTGATACATGTGCTGCTTAATGCATTTCAGGCTTTTCCTCAGCACACAACTTACATCTCACGATTAAATCCTTATCTGTAAATGTTGGAAATTTGTGCATAAAGGCTTGTCCCGACAGCAAGCAAGTCTACGTTAGACATAGATTTTACTGAACGAGCACCAGCGCACACATGCACATCAAACAGAAGTAGACAGTATACATTTTGCAATATTAAAGTTTGGTAATTTTAAAGACCAATTCTAATTATGAACTAGCATGCATATTATTAGTATTTATAAAGCACATAGTAATGCCTTATTCTGCATGAGCATATTTTAGATCCTATAACCCCATACCTACACTTAACAACTACCTTACTAACGATTAATAAGCAGCAAATTAGGAGCTTATTGAGGCAGAAGTCGTAGTTAATAGTGAGAATTGGATCTTAAAGAACAGTGTTACCAATATTTTGGATCCAAAAGTGGAAGCTCTTTAAATATTTTTTCCCCATTTATAACAGCACGATAAAGAGTGTGAAGATAGTGTTGCAGCCAGTTGCTGCAATATGAATATATTTAAAGACAGAGCCATAGTTTAATCGGTAAACCACTGTTTAACACACACATACACACAAACACACTGCTGTACCAAAAACATATTTTTTACTGAAAACATTATTTTTGTGTATCGTTACACCCCTGGATTTTCAAAAATACTCATTTTTCAGTATGAATTTCTATAGACATGATAGCGTATATATAACATAGGGTATATTTCCAGACATTTTGAAATTTTGGAAATGCTACCAATAGATATTTGCATTTTATTTATTTAAAACTGTTATATGACTATGTTTCAGCACAGTTCTAGTGTATGTATATATATATATATATATATATATATATAGCTTTAAAGTGCCCACCAAATGATTTGATTTTTGTTCATTCTCTCTAGCTAACAATCACACTCATTAAACAATCACACCAAGCAAAACTAAAAAAGCTACTTCTCAAGCTGTCGCACATTTGTGGTGTAAAAAGTATCTTGATGCTTGGTTCTAAAAATCTAATGTTTTTTTTTTTTTTTCTCTCTGTCTCTCTGTTCCAAAACCAACGCCTTGTGTGACATAAATGAGGCCTCTTACATGAAGCATGCAGAGAGACTCAACTCACTCCTGATTCCAACAGATACTGTTTTCTCCACAGTCAGTTATACCACTTTTTCTGGAAGGTTTTTTTCGTAGACTTGGAAAAGTGATGTTATGAGCACCAAACACATCCTACAGTCTATTTTTAAGGGCTGAAAAGTAGGGAAGAGACAGGAAAGTTTAAGTCAACTGTGTTAAATATTATTACCTTACAGAACAGGAGCATTCAATTAAAGTTACAGGTCAAGTCTCTAAATTTCAGGTCCAGACATCCAACAGTAACACTGCAACTTACACAGGAGTCAACATGTTGTGCAGTATACAAGCAATAAAAAAGCAATGCACATTTTTTTTTTTCTTTTTTTTTTTTTAAGTTGGCAGCTATAATGAGCTACCTATTAAAAGTATGAAATGTGAACCTGGTGCACAAAACCAGTCATAAGGGTCAATTTCTCGAAATTGAGATGTATACATCATCTGAAAGCTGAATAAATAGGATTTGTAGGTTTGAAAAAATAGGTTTGTTAGGATAGGACAATATTTGGCTGAGATACAACTATTTGAAAATCTAGAATCTGAGGGTGCAAAACAATCTAAATATTCAGAAAATCGCCTTTAAAGTTGTCCAAATGAAGTTCTTAGCAATGCATATTACTAATCAAAAATTAAGTTTTGATATATTTACGGTAGGGAATTTACAAAATATCTTCATGGAACATGATCTTTACTTAATATCCTAATGATTTTTGGCATAAAAGAAAAATCGATAATTTTGACCCATGCAATGTTTTTTTGGCTATTGCTACAAATATACCCCAGCGACTTAAGACTGGTTTTGTGCTCCAGGGTCACAGATAATAAATCCTACACAGCTGTAAGAGTCTCTCCAAGACTGCTTCTTTGTCCAGAGAAAACGATTGTATCTGCTGTATCACTGACAGGCCAGGTAATTTTATTCACAACCAATTACACATAATTTGTATTTTATATTGACAAAGAATAACATTGGAACAATTTTCCTGAGCTCTGTGGCCTTCAGAATGTCTGCCCACCAATTGCATTTACTGTATTTAACCCAGTTCTCTTCCAGGTTTGTCTGTTTTATGGTGAAATGTTCATGTGGAAAAAGAAAACATCTTTTTATGTTAATATTTAATTTATTTGTTTATTTATTTATTTTACCACTTAAACTACTGTTCAAAAGTTTGGGGTTTGTACAGTTTTTTTACTCTTCTGATCACAAAGGCTGCATTTATTTGATTAAAAAAATAATAAAATAAATAAGTAGCTGTAGCTTCAGTGTCACATGATCCTTCAGAAATCATTCTAATATGCTGATTTGCTGCTTAATAATTGTTATTCTTAATGTTGAAAACACCTTTGCTTTTTCATATTTATGTGGAAATATTTATAAGTCGTTAATAAATAGAAAATTAAAACAGATTAAAATAAAAAAGAAACATTTATTTGAAATAGATTTTTGTTTGTTATACATATTATAAAAAGTCTGCACTGTCACATTTGATCAATTTAATGTGCCCATGCATTTCTTTAAAACTTCTAAATGAAAGTCTAAATAAATATCTTAATATGTTCAATACATCACTGTACATTTGGTGTAATGAAAGAACAGAAGTACGACTTCATGTGTGTGTTATGATTTACTCAAGGTCTGAGGAATAAAACACTGCTGTCTGCCTGCGACTCGAGGACCCCAAACACAATCACATGCTAATAAAGAAAAACCTGCAGCGGTAAACCCAATTACCAGACAAATCTACCTCCATCTCAAACAAAGTCCAATCTAGTTTAGT